ATTAACCCACAATATTGACATCATAAAGATAAATGTAGAATCTTGTGTTAATGAAGACTGCAAAACATTTTTAAACAAACCTTATTACATAAAATAATAATAACATATATTAGTGTGAGTGTGTATTGGGAATGTTATAATCTACTATGGGAACATTCCAAGTATCCAATATTTACAAATATAATAAAAGCATTAATTAAAAATTACAAGGAAACCTATAAACAGACTTTCTTCCAGATGGGATCATCTACAGTCCTGTACCTGATTCTATTAGTTTTCATAACAAAACACTCTGCTTACAACAATTCAATTTAGTACAATTATACCTGGAACCATAAGGCATCTGTGAAATTTCATTGTGGCTCATGGCCGTATGTCCCCTTTTCTAGTACAGTATTATAAAAATATGATCTATGTCCTTCCAGTTCACATAGCTGAATAATATCCACCATTAATGCAATTACATCATTACGCATAAAAAATGCCAAATACTTGAAAAAAAAGAAGAAGAAATACTTACCTTTCCTGCTGTAGATGTCGCCATAACACCGCTGTGTTCAGTAGAAATCTTCTTCCGAAGTCCACTGGAAAACTGACACTTCCAGGAATGTCGATCTCTTTGGTCCACTGCAGTGCTCAGTGGTGCTTTTCTGCAACCTCAATGCCATTAAAGACCCATTACTCTATCACGGTGTCTGGTGTTACCCATATACAAAAACTTGGAGTGGCGCTCAAAACACAGTAAAACTTCCCCCTGCAGTCCAAAGCATAGATCAGCTGCTGATGTTCAAACAAGCTCATCCAGGATAGCTGAAACAAATCCGAAGACAGAAGATGCAAATGCCACATACCAGAACCCAGCTACTATATAGAGAGGTAAAGTTATGGCTTCAACCTGAACTCCTCCTGGCCATGCTCCTCTAACATGTTTCGTCCCTTCTCTTTGATGAAGCCCTGTGGCAAAACATGCCAAAAGAACATGGCCAGGAGGAGTTCAGGTTGAAGCCATACTTTTACCTCTTTATATAAAGTATGGGTTTAGGTGTGCGGCGTTTCTACCTTTTGTCTCCTGCACAATATCAGGTGTCACACATATACACTCTTTTTGCCTGTTTTTTGTGCAACACACACAGGACAAGCCATTAATTTCAATTGGTTGCTATGCATGACAAACACTGCTAACCATGTGTTTTTTCTGCAGAAGAAATGGGTGTCTGCTTACTGCATTTGGAGTACATTAACATTACATGGCACCCCAAACACGTTACACATTTTCCAAGTATTAGTGTGAATGCAGTTTAAGGAAACTGTTATCTTGTGGAGGTCAGTGGGAGGAAACACAGAAGGAAACCAAGACCACCAGAAGTGTTGGTTTCCCAGCAGACTTCAGAGGAGGGTTTCTGTTCACCAGAGTGGTGTACTGGTGGTGCGGGCAACAGGAAATGTAAATATTCCTTTTCCAACTTTTCAGGTAGAGCTGTTTATTTTCAATAGCAGGGTGGCTTTAAAGTGGTTGCAAACCCTTACATATACCCAATGAAGTGACTGGCCTCAGGTGATACACAAAGCTGAAGCAAATCTTTCTACATAAGTTGTGCCTGTTTATCTTTAGTCTTCTCTTCTCTACATCTGTTCAAAATGCTACATTTCTAAAGCTTGTCTGAGAGTTCAGGAAAAAAGAGGTGGGGGGCTGAAGTTACACTCTGCAGAGCTCAGTGAGGAGAGCTCTGAGAGGTGATTGGAGGGAGGGGAAACACCAACAGAGCTGAGGCTGTCAATCTGCTGGAGCTCCCTCCCCGTCACCATTCTTCTCTTGGTGTCAGGAAAACTTGTCAGAAGTGACTCATGCTGATAGCAGAGGAACAAAGCAGCAGACAGAAATTACGTGGAGTGCTCTTAATTGATACAGGCACACACTGTTAATGGATATGCTTTGGTTTACAACCACTTTAAGGCACATTAAAGGAAAAGTATTGAGCAGTTTATAAATGTATGTTTTATATCACTTTACTCTTCATTTTGATAGTATAACCATACAGGTAATGGTGAGAAGGGACTAACCCAATCAAAAAGACCTCACTATAACCAATGTGTTGCCCAGTAAAGCCTTCTCAAAACAAAAGGTATTTACATGTCTCATTCCATCAGATATCCCAAAAAAAGAGGACCATTCCTCATTTTAGGACAGTTGGAGAATCCAGATTATTGCCTTACCCCATTAGCCAGATGCATATCCAGAACCTCTGGTTTATAGAGCAAACACAGCTTAATATTATACAGCTATTTATTCCAAACTGTAGACAGCTGTTTCAGGCTATTTGGCCATCATCAATGCAGCGTATGGAAATCATGGCTTCTATGGTGAGGGATTACAACTCAAAGAGATAGCATAACCATACAAAGGCTTTATTTTGTCAGTACTCTTCTAATAGAATGTATCAATGATAAACAATTTGAAGCATGCTGGGCTTTCTATCAAGAAAGCTCAGCACTGTCTGCAAGCTTGGCACCACCCTACAAGGAAGCAAGACAGGGGGTTGGTCCTTCTCATATAAGTCAATGTGTTTATTCTGATACTTCTGGGATTTAGAACTATTTTACACTATCATCTGAGACTGTAGAATGGTAAATGTGACTTTTTTTCCTGTCCTGAACATCTATAGAATATACACAAAATTGCTAAAGTTGTGTGATAGCCCTTTATACAGGGAAATTGTTCATCTACTTTCATGTGTTGCTCCCTTGCAACCTGGATGGAAATGTTGCAAATGTAAGTCACCAGTGAACATTTCTACCCTCTATAGCCCTGTATACTGATCCTGATGCTGGCAAGTTCTTGCTAGAGCAGGGGCGGACTGACCATTTGGAAACTCGGGCACTGCCCGAGGGCCCGGGGTCAGTAGGGGGCCCCATGAGATGCCCCTGGTACCTTTTTCATAGGCTTTTTTGAGTTTGGGCAAGGACACAGGGGCCCCATGATCCCTTATTGCCCGGGGGCCCCATGAGTTGTCAGTCCGCCCCTGTGCTAGAGACAAGATTGCTAATGTGATATGGCCCTAATACTATATACACATAGATGCTGCATACAAACCACACCTAGTGCCAATATTCATTTAACCAGCATTTAAGTTGAGATGTTACTACCCATGGTCAGGGGAAGTCATTGAATTGAATGCTTTCCATGGGCTGAACACGAAATATAGTGTTTAGATGGGCACAGTGTGACATCCTACTGAAATACAATGCAGAGGGTAGTAACCACACTTGGAGAGAAGCTTCACAGGTACTGGAAAAGCTAATCAAGTGTCCCTTTTAGAGTCCATGTGAATGCAGCCCTGTTAAAAGCTCTGACTTTAAATCTACTCTTGTCAAGGAGCAGTCAACACTAGTTGATCAAAACCAAGGGGTACAAAATAGTAATTTGCTTTCATACAGTAGTACATACTTTATTAGAGGTGATAAACACTGTGGTAGGTTATTTTATGTGTGTGTCTTCATTAGTCCCCATAATACTAAAGTCTAAATGGCAATTTCATACTTTTAGATTTTAGAGAAGCAGCAACCTTTTCTATAAAATAACACTGCCTATAGCATTCCAATTCCAGTAACAGTCAGGCACATGTGGGAGGATAAAAAATAAATCCTATAGATGGTCACTCCTACACATCTCACAGATGAGCAAAATCAAACCATGACACAAAATGCTGCTCCCACCTGGTATAATTCCCCATTCTTCCCCATCTAAATTGCAAAATCACCATGGTGTGGGAGAGCATGGGGAATAGACAAAAGTTCCCAGGCTATCAGGTCTTGGACTTCATATTATCTCATCTGTCACTGCAAAATATATACATTAATGGCTGTAGTATATGAAATACCTCCCACTAGTAATATCCCAATTTTGAATAACATTAATGTGAAAACTATTATTTTCTGATAACTTGGAGCTAATTATTTAGTATATGCTTTTTTTTCATCTCTTTATTCACATTTTTCTCCACCCTACCAGTGACTGAGGTAAAGTACAACCTATTACATTAGCAGGGGTGCTTGTGAGTTTTTTTTTAATGAAGATTCAAGCCATGTAAATAAATAAAGGAGAGCATTGTAATCATCTGTATGCAGTGACCCAGCCCCGTCACTGGCATTATTACTGGACAGCTTGCATTGAATGTGGTGAAAATGGTCAGAAAACCATATGCAATAAAAACATTAATATACTAAATACCATATGCAGAAATTGAGAATATAATTTTTTTTTTTTGCTATAGTGGACCCTCAATGTCTGTTAACTCTTTGCAGGTAATTTACTAAAACTGGAGAATGTTAAATGTGGTGCAACTCTACATAGAAACCAATCAGCTTCCAGGATTTATTGCCAATGATTAATTGAACAAGCTGAAGTTAGAAGCTGGTTAGCTCCCATGCACAACTGCACCAGATTCTGAGTGCTCCAGTTTTAGTAAATCCCCCCCCCTCCCCCCCTGACTGCATCTCTTACCTTTCTAAGAACAGGGCTGCAATAACCCTTTAAGTCACCACCTGACCCAAGAGGTACATACTTCAGGGAAGTGTACATTAACACAGAAATGTCTGGAAAAAATACAGATGACTTATTTTATTATGAAATATATTTTTGTTATTTTCAGAAGAACAAATGCAAAATATACTGTAGCAGAAGGTGCCTACAAAAGAAATAAAATGGCATACCTGGTGGACAGCAAATAATATAGCAAATAAGCCCCATTATTTCCCTGGCTCTCTGTCCTGCCTTTTCAAGGTATAGAAAACTATGATTCAGTAAAAGACACACAGAACACTATTCGGCTTGTCACAGGGCTCAGTGCTAGCAGGCATGTTGCCTGTACATTCATACTGCCATAAACTGTCACATCGCAGTGGATCAGCCGTGATGAGCACTATCTGGTCCAGCAGACCCCCACCCCCGCGGCGCTCCGCTTCCTCCTTAAGGCAGCGCAATGTCAGCGCTGCCAGACATCTCAGTGAGTGAATTTCTTCCTCTTGCTCAGGCAGATTATTTTCTTGAAGGATCTCCTGAAGTCTTGGTTGAAGATAGTATAGATGACAGGGTTGAGGGAGCTGTTACAGTAGCCTATCCAGAAGAAAAACTTGAATAAAGTTTCCGGAATGGCACAGGCTTCCCTGCAGATGCCATAGAGGCAATAGCTGAAGAAGAAAGGGAACCAACAGACCACAAACACCCCCATCACAACGGCCAGAACAAAGGTGAACCTCTTCTCCCTGGCTTGGGTGACCTTCCTTCTGGAGATGCTGCTCCTCTTCTTCTTTCTGGAGGAGAACATGTCCATAGATTTGTTACTAGAACGGGACAGGCGGCTGGACTGTTTGGAGAAGCTCTTCCTCTCCTTTCCACAGTCAGTATTGTCCTCCCGACTGCTGCTCTTCCTTCTCTTGCTCTCAGATATACTGCTCTCCTCAATGTCCAACTCATCTAGATCCGTGGTGGTTTTTGGTGGGGTGGGACGGGATGGGGGATAATGGCCATTCTCCCTGTCCCCAGGGAACTTGACAGAAGTCCCCTTGCTGTAGCCATTCTCGGTGTGTGAAGAACAATTTGGGGCTGGCTTCTTCTCTGACAAAGTCCTAGTCCTCAGCTTGGCCACCTGGTAGATGCGAATGTAAACCAAAATCATGATCACACAGGGGGCAAAGAAGGACCCTATAGAAGAAGAGAGGATGTACCAAGTCTCATCATTGAGTTCACATTTCACATCCTCACCTGTCCAGTTGAAGTTCGCAGCAGATGCTCCACTAACACCTACCCTGTCCATTGAGATCAGAGGTGGGAAAGAGATGACAGCCGAAATGAGCCAGACGGTGACAATGATCCCTTTAATCCTCCTGGGTGTCCTCTTCAGGTTGTACTCAACTGCTTGAGTGACAGACCAGTACCTGTCCAGGCTGATGGCACACAGGTGGACTATAGAAGACGTACAGAAGAGCACGTCCAAAGCCAGGTAGACATCACACCAGAGGTTGCCGAAGAACCAATATCCCATCAGCTCGTTAGCCAAAGAGAAGGGCATGACCAAGGCTGCCACCAGAATATCTGCCCCAGCTAGCGACACCAAGAAAAGGTTTTGTGGGGCTTTCAGAGCTCTGCTAGTCAACACAGCAATGACCACAAAGACATTACCAACGATTGTAAAGATAATGAGGAAACCGACTATGGCTGCCAAGGTCCAGATGGCAGTGAAGGAATATTGCCCCTTGCCATAGTACCCAGAGGGTGGCAAAAAAGTACTGTTGATGTAATCAGTGGTGTTCTCCAGCTCATCCATGCTGGTGTTAAAGTGACCACCACATTGCTTGGTTGCTGGTCCCTTGCCAAGTTGGGATTTCATTAACCCTCATCTCCAATTATTGTCCCCTGAATCTCCATGGCTGATAACTTCCATCAGCATCCAAGATCTAGAAGAAGAGCTTTTCCTAACAGTCCAGAATGCTCCTGTAGCTGGTCCAGAGGTCCACACATCATGGACATGAAGCTAGCGGGTGTCTTCTCATTCTGGTCGCCTGGATCGCCTTGGACATTGTGCTCCAGCAGGGGCAGTGCTCACAGCACATTGGGAGGAGGAGGTGGTACTGAGGCAAGCACTGAGATCCTTAGGTTATAAGCATCCCAAGCATCTGCTCTTCCATCAAGCCCAGACTCAGTGCTCAGCCTGCTCTTCTAACAGCAAATCACTTTCTGGAGAGGGTGATGGCGTAAAAAGCACCCTGTGATCTCCTGCTATTAACTGATCTCTCTCTCTCTCTCTCTCTCTCTCTCTCTCTCTCTCTCTCTCTCTCTCTCTCTCTCTCTCTCTCTCTCTCTCTCTCTCACACTCTCTCTCTCTCTCTCTCTCTCTCTCTCTCTCTCTCTCTCTCTCTCTCTCTCAGAAAGGGAAAAAAAGCAGTGCTTCTGGATTTGGAATTGGAGATGCAAATGCACTCAGTACAATGTACTTGTGTGCTAATAAGTGCACTGATGCTGTTGACTGAAGAACTGGTAAGTCCTCTCTATATTTTTTGCAGCACTTTTCAGATGAGAAGTGACACCAAGGAGCTGGTGTTATGTCATGCTGTACTCATATCTCAGTCCTGCTCATTGTAGGTTGAAGGAGTAGGATTAAAAGCATATTGCTTAGATAAGAAGCACCAGAATCATCCATTGTCATCAACCCTGGAGAAAACACATCAGTGAATAAAATGACTGAATCTTCATCATTTCTGGTCAAGTTGAACAGAAACAGATGGGGTGGATGTCTGAATAGGCACAGAATTCATTTCTGGACAGAAAGAATATTCATTGCAGACCTGCATTACATTCTCATTCTTAAAATGCATCAGATAAAATTTACATCTGATGCTGATATGGCACTACAAGTCCCAGCATTCATCCAGCCATTGTATTTGATTAATTCCCTCCTTGCTGGCTTGGTTTGGTCATTGCAGCTTTTGACAAAATAGTTTCTAAAAACGTATTAGTATATACAGCAGGCTAATCCATTGGGTGCTCAGTGTATTGCTGTGTAATATTTAGACACATATCCATCCTATGCTTTACAGTGAATGTCTTTGTATGGGACTTTATGATGACACATATTGTAAATGTTTTTAATGATTTTAAATGCTTAAAATAGTAACATATTCTAAGAATGACTGAGCACTAACTGAAACATAAAGTATTCCTATATAATCTGCAGGATTCCTCAGTGCTCTATACAATTCTCATACTAAAGTTGCATGGAAAACTCATTTAAATAGCAGGAGTCACACAGATAGTGTTAACCCTTTACATTTATAGATCCCAAAGTCCCAGCTAGCCCCAGATACAATTTGCTGTCTTTCATATATAAATAGAAAATGCCAATGATTTCCATAAGTGTGGAAGAGTTATTCAAGAGTTTGCATGAATTAATCTGATAGAACGGATGGGAATGGGTGGTGGTGGTGGTGGTGGGGGGGGGGTTGTTATTAGTTGTGAAGCTGCTAGTATTATCACAGTCTCCTGTCATCTGTGTATACAACCTATTGCATTTTTAATAGCTATTCTGCTTGTGTGGGCTGTTCCAGATTCAGTCGCTAGAGGTCAGTATTAACCCACAGATCCCATGCAGCATTACTAGAGCCAAGTCTAGGGATGCCATTTAAATGTAATATTTTGCCACTATTGCCAAAGACTTCTATCATTAACCTTTCTGTGCAACAGCTATTGTCATCCACATAGCTTTGTGATTTGGGTAGAGTATATGTTGTTTAATAATACATAAATCTTTATATACAACTCCAATACCATCCGTTTGCTAATGGTTCTCTGCTTGTGCCAAAGTAGTGCAGGCTAGAGTACAATTTACCCATTACTGCGGAATATGTATTAGTTCTTTAATTTATTGATTCACCTGTCTTGCTTTAAAACATTTCACTCTATCCAGAAAAGCAGGAGCCTGGATGAGGTGTAATTTTATTATATGTGATCTAATTTGTGGTACAGAGAAGCCAGCAGGGAAAGGGGCAGACCCAAGGCTATTGTATCAGTGACATTCTGTGTTTTTTAGGAAGAACATTCACACGAGCATCCTCTGTGGTCATCATGCAGGCTAAATTGGATTTAGATTCATTGGTATTGAATAAATAAATGGCTTTGATTCACAACAATATTGAACTGTGTTTTTTTTTTTATTTTGCAGTTTAGGTGCAAAAGTAAATTCCCCCTCCCATTCTTTCTCTCCCCCCCCCCCCCTCTCTCTCTCTCTCTCTCTCTCTCTCTCACCATCCCTCTCCTGATTTTTTTTTAAATAGGACTCCTCTTTCTACTGCTTTAAAGAAGCACCACCAAAAAATGAAACCTTCCCCTGCCTCAATGAGTATGTTAAAGTCCAACTCCAGGAAATAGACCACATCTACCCTTGCAGACAACCCCCCCCCCCTCTCTCCCACCCATCCATCCATGCTGCAAGGTTTAACTGCTTATTAACCACTTGCCTACCGGGAACTTCTACCCCCTTCCTGTCCAGGCCAATTTTCAGCTTTCAGCGCTCTCACACTTTGAATGACAATTGCGCGGTCATGCAACACTGTACCCATATGACATTTTTTATCATTTTTTTTCACACACATAGAGCTTTCTTTTGGTGGTATTTAACCCCACTGTTTTAGTTTTGCACTATAAAAAACAAATAGCAAAAAAAAAAAAAAGTTTGTTATTACATTTTGCAAACAGGTAATTTTTCTCCTTCACTGATGTGTGTTGATGGGCACTGATAGGCAGCACTGATGGGCACTGATGAGGTGGCACAGATAGGCAGCACCAATATGTACTGATAGGCTGCACTGATGAGGTGGCACTGATGATGCTGCACAGATATGCAGCAATAATGGGCACTGATGGGCACTGATAGGCAGCAATAATGGGCACTGATGGGCAACTCTGACAGGCGTCGCTGACTGACGTAGGATATTGTAATTATATATATATAACAGCACTGACAAGCGACACTGATGGGCACTGATAGGCGGGACTGCTGGACGCAACTACTGAGCAGCACTGGTGAGTGGCACTGATGAGTGGCACTGCTGGGCACTGATAGGTGGCACTGCTGGGCACTGGTGGGAGGCACTGCTGGGCACTGATTTCTTTATGGTTAAACTGGATGGACTTTTGTCTTTTTTCAGTCAGACTAACTATGTAACTGGTGAGTGGCACTGATGTGCCCTGGTGGATGGCACTGCTGGGTGGCGCTGTTGGGCACTGAATATCAGTGCCCTGATGATCAGTGCCGATCTGTTTTTTGACAATTGCCAGTTATCGGCAGTACTTTCCTCACGCTGTGACAATGTGAGAAAAGTGCTGCCGAAAACCGGCAACTGTATTTACTCCATGATATGTTGTGTCATTGGACACAGCAGATCACGTGGTAAAAGGATGCTGTGATTGGCCTTTTACCTCATCACATGATCAGCTGTGTCCTTAAGACACAGTGATCACGGAGATTACCGGGTGCACGCTGCTGGGGGCGCACGGGAGGGCGCGTTCTGGGAGGATGTCATATGATGCCCTCCCAGAACAGGACAACCGTACTGTAGCCATCATTCGGCTATAGTTTGGTTGCCAAGAGGTTAAAGTGGTAGTGTGTACCAAAGCATATCCATTAACAGTGTGTGCCTGTATCAATCCACAGCACTAAGTGATATTTCTGCCTGCAGCTTCATTCCTCTGCAATCAGTATAAATCAGTTCTGGCAAGTTTTCCTGACATCAAGAGAAAAAAAGGTGACAGGGGAGGGACCTCAAGCAGATTGACAGCCTCAGCACTGTTCCTGTGTGTTGGGTGAAAGGGTATGTGTTCTTTTCTTCAGCTCTCTGCCCCCTTTTTTCTGATCTCTCTGGCAAGCTTTATAAATTCTGGACTTTAAACAGATGTATAGAAGAGAAGACTGCAGATAGACAGCTACAACGTATGCAAGAGGATTTGTTTCATCTCTATGTATCACTGGAGGCCAGTCACTTCACTGGGTTTACAACTACTTTAAATCTAGGGGGAGTGAAAGGTTGTTCCACTTACCTTACCCCTGCTCCAGCCGGCTGTCATCATATACAAAATGCAGGGCTATTAACCCTGCATTGTACATAGAGAGACACTGTGGCCGGGAGGACCTTAGAGAGGAGGGACTGGATGCACTGCTGGAGAGATCCTGCTGGAGTGAGGGATAAGGTATTACCCATTATTCCTAGACTGAAGGAGTAGTTACCATGCAGTGCGGGGAAGGCAGGCACTGCAAGGGTAAACGCTGTCTAATTCCTGGAGTTGGACTTTAAAGCAAAACCTTTTTTTATGTGTTGGAAAAATGAGGGAATAGTTGGACCCGCTGCCAAGTTTCTGTTGCAGTCTTCTTCCCACTGGGGAGGTTTACCCCGCTGTTTTGGTGACCATTTATACTGAGGTAGAAAGTGAGAGGGGAATCATACATTTTAAAGATGTCAGGTGAGCAAGAGGTGAAGGGAAATTTTCCCAATGGGGACCAATGATCTGGTTACAGTTCTCACTATCCATCAACCCCTAAACATTTACTATATGAACACAATTTTATAAATGCTGCCCATACATACTAGTACTATGAATAATAATAATATTCTTGTGTATACCGTAGGCACTTCCTCTGGTAAATGCAGCTTCTATTATGGTTGTTTTATTTTTTAGTAAACTTTTAGTTGCTGTATTTTTAGTAAACACAGGCAATAAGTCCTTTGGCTCTATTCACATCACTATTATTATTATACAGGATTTATATAGCGCCAA